ATTTTCAGCGTTCCTCTCGGTATGTAATTAAAAACATTTTTTTTTTTTTTTTGGTGGGGGATGTTTATATTTTCTCCATCTCCCTTCTCCGGTATAGATATAACTCCAGTAATAGGGGCATTATTTTAGTCTAATAAATCCTTTTGTAAGATGAGGGCCTTGTCTTTCACTTACCCAAGAGAGAGTATATGAAAACTATAAATATTAAAGCTGGCCTATTTACTTGTGCGCGCGTTTTCTAGAGCCGACGCAGTAAATTACAAGGTGAGATTATAATTTCGAACTGAACCCTTTATTTCATCCACTGGGGTAGATTTTTCTAGTTCCACGTGTCATGTCTCTTCCGAATATCTCAGTTATCTCCCTTTAACTCAACTCTTCAAGTTTTTTTGTGTTCACTACTGAAGTACCCAGGTGTTAAACTCACAAGACTTTGGGTCAAGTCATTGAATTCAACCAACGCTTTTATTTACTGGGTTATGTGTCCTTGAGGATAAACGCCGGAGCGTACAACAGCCGAAACATCGTGAATGTGGCAATAGAGATGAGGACGACATTTCGACAATGTAAATGATGTAAACAATTACAATACCTCATCTCAGAAATATAGACAGATATACTAGGTAAGAATTCAGACGGATATTTTACACACACAGAAGGATATGTCAATCTTCATATTCCTCTTTCTTTCTTCTTGTCTCCTGCTTTTGTCGTCTGCCATTCCCTTTTCGTCTTTCATCCCATTCGTTTTATCTTTGCCTTGTTTTTACCACTTTAACATGTTCAAGATACAATCTGTGTGGTCCATCTTGGAAAAATAGAAGTCATCATGTCGACAGTAAATAAGTCATTACTGATAAGGCAGTCGCTAATCCCGGCCCATTTTCCCATCGCCTAAGAATCAAATTACCAATTCTTTTTTTCATTCCTTCGTTAAGTGGAATACATTGACCACTAACCTCACACAAATAATGCGACACAAGAAATACGCTTCCATTATTTTGTCTCTTGTTTACCCAATACTATGTGTGTGGGTGGTTTAATGGATCGCAGCTCAGAATGAGAAGTTGGGGACCCGTGTTCAAATTCTAGTTGGGTTTCAGTAATATTCAATTGGTAAAGATATGAATCAAATAAAAAAAATATTCCTACAAACCAAAATTTCAGGTTTAAATAATATCTACACATGCGGCTAGACAAACTTCTCACAGATTTAGAGAAAAATGGAGGCGACAAAATATGGGATGCTTCTATAGAAGGATGCTGAGAATAGCAGAGATGGGATGCGTGCGAAACGAAGTCTTAAGGATTATAGAGACAAAAAGGACACATTATACTCAGAATACGAAAGATTCAGCTAATTTCGAAAATTCTTGATCGAATAATTAGGAAGCGGAGCTTGGAAAATTTGATACTCACAGGACCTATCAAAACAAAAACAAACATGGAAAGGCAGCAGCCTACTTCTCCCCCCCCCGCTACACAGATAAGCGTGTTTGAATTGGGTGGCGGAATGGGGGTGATGGCTGGAAGGCTTGACAAAAGTTGCTAAGATGTATAGGAGGCTGTGAAGGTCCATGATCACCCATGTCCTGAAAAAGAATGAAGAAGATTCCATTATTTTTTTTTTTTTCTGCCCGTCACCTTTTAGAAATCCACTATTAATAGACGAACTGCTCGAGGTTCACTTCAAACCTCTTGTTTACACATCTCCTGATATAATCACTAAGGCCAAATCGTCATACAGGGGACAAAGAAAACTTATTTGCCTTCCAACATTGATTCGTATCGTAAAGAAAGTTTTGACAGTGAAAATAACGCCGATCTCTATATAATAAAAGAACAGTCTTGACACGGAATGGGTAGCATTTGTGATGTCCGTCAAGTCAGCAAAGGAAATACCCAAAACAGTATTTCGGACTAAGAAAATCTTGATAAGACAAGTGTAAATCTTGATAAGACAGGTGTAAATGTTGATAAGGCAGGTGTAAATCTCTCATCGATTCAAGACTCGAAAACTTCATCGACGGATTTCTGTTAGGATTTTATTACTCAAACTTGGTACAGCTGGTTAGAAACTTAATAAACTCAATTTTCTTCTCCGAAAGGAACAAAGTCAAATGATCATTAATGTATAGAGTGACTTTTTGACTTTGAGTCTGTCCTTCTGTATTTGGGTTGCTAAAAACATCTCGGTCTGAGTAAGACGTTGTAACAATAAAAAAAATTGAAAAATAGATCTCTTATTTCGCCATTAATCACTTTAACATTGTTATTTAATTCTTTGTATAAATGGTTTCTTTAATATATATATATATATATATATATATATATATATATATATATATATATATATATCATAAAGAAACCATTTATACAAAGAATTAAGTACCAATGTTAATGCGATTAATGACGAAATCACTTTGTTAAAAAGACTTAATGAGACAGTTCCTTGAATAAGATCCTTATATTTGAGTTGTTGTTAAATGGAAGACACCTGCCGAGTACTTTCAACAATTTCAAATTGTCATCTTCAGAGCGCAATTTTTGCCATACATAAGCAAACACAAAAACACAATATGTGTCGACTAAAAGATGTTTTTTTTTTTAAATTATGCTATTTATTGTCTCGCCGGGGGTGAACTCCACTCGATTAATATATGTGTGTGTGTGTGTGTTGGCTACGTTTATAAACTAGAATAAAAATACGAAGATCGATCAAAAAGTAATCATATTCAGTGCTATTTCTACTTACAATCATCTTCAGAATGACTACTCTACTCTGAATATATCCATTTGATCAGCCCCATGGTTTTAGACTGCATCTATGATGAGAAGACTTTAGTTACAGTTCAAGTAAAGATCCCACCAATGAAACGTGAGGCTTTGAATTAATTTGACTTTCTCCAAAAATTGTTTACCAGAACAGCTAGAAAACACGATCTGTACTGGCATTAAACCCATAGCTATGAGTGAGAAGAGATTGTGTGGCACCATTTACCAAGGCAAAAAGAAAAGAAAGGAAAGGAGAGGCGAAGACCCAAAGCGTGGATGATAAGCAGAACACCCACGGCTAAGAGACAATGGATAAAGGATATTTTGATAAGTAACAAATGGCGAAGAGTGTCATTACAATGGCAGGGAAATTCTAAGTGGATAAAGGAATCGGGTGTGTTCTGGCGACGGGCTGTGTTATCGGGATACATAAACAAACCGCTAATGCGGGAAGGCATCTGATTAGCAAACCACAGACCGACTAGCCAAAGAAAAATCCAAATGAAAATGTTATTCTGATAAGTGACGAAAAACAGGTGGATTACAGGGCTTTGGATAGATATGAAAAATTAATTGTGTCAAAAGCCGCACACGAGGTGGCCACTGACCGTTTTCTTTCGACAGAACATCTTTAGCCTGCGATAATAAAACTATGTTATCAGAAATGTGTACCGAAAAAATGAATGGGAACCTAGAAATGTTTCTTTTCGAGGCGACAGTCTGGCCGTGTTAAAAAGACCACCCATTCTGATAATTAACGATAAGATGACTGACGAAGCCCAGGTGAGAACAAGAGTTATGACCACCATCGATCGTATTGTTCTGTTTGCGGCTAGAGAAAATGATAACTGCGATTAAAAGAAAGAAAAGGAAAAGAAAAAGATTTTTTTTTTTTGTTAAGCAAGATATTTTTTTTTCCTGAAACAAAGCCGCGGGATCGTACACGCCCGACTAGACATCATTTGTCGAGTGGTGATCACGTGACGCAAGGAGGGAGCTGTCACCGCCCATTTAGAGGATGGGTATGAGAGGTTGCTACGAAGAAGTGAGGAGGGCAGTTCACGCCCCTCTGAAGTATGGTGAGAAGGTGGGAGTAAGAGAAGGCTCCCAAAAATGGAAAAAAAGTGGAAAATTCCTAACCAGAAATAAAAGAAGTGGATATGTATTTAGAATTATCAAGGAACCCCTGGCGCCGACAAACCCACCCCGGTTTTGGTCGGCGTCCATATAAGCAAGGCCGCAGCGAGCAGAAATCAGTTTTCAGTTCCGGTTCCAGCAGAGAGTTCGAAGTTCGCAGTGGAAGTTGGTTCCGCCTCGCAGATAGCTGACTTGAAAGATTCACGCAAATCCCGGACTCCTCTTCAATCCAAGAACAATTATTTTGAAGAGCGACTTAGATCCAGACCACCAAAATAAGTTTTTTCGACTTTCGGCCGAAGACACACCGAAAAACCAATTTCTTACAGAGCAAACAACTTGAAGTGATAAAACTCGCCTAACGGAAAACAACGTGTCACAATCGGGTCGGGAGATAGACGCAGTCCTATGTATCTAACAACTAGACATAAAGTTTGTTATCCTTTTTTTTTTTTGATACCTTGAATTTTTGAGTTATCATTTTGTTTTCTTTTATGCATATTTGTGCGGTGTCACCCCCGCTTGAACCCGATTTGCATTACGGCCCCAACTACTGATTGCTCTCGTCTGCCTAAGATCAATTCACAACGTGGGTAGGCAGACTGGAGATCAAGGCAGTTACTTTGGTAACCAGGCGTTGGAAGCGAGTTGGGACGACGAGGCTGATATCAAATCTAACCAGATTCCCACCCGAATCATCAAAAGGTTAGAACGTAACATTTGGGTGCCGCGACCGATACCAAGCCAGTTGGTCGTCACAGGACGAGACAACACGACTGACGCGACAGGCGGACGTCACGTTTGGAGCGGCGACACCCGAACGAAGCAGCGGGGAGCGAGCGAAGGCTGTGTTTAGGGACGTCACAGCTGGCGCTGCGACCAGGACGTCACATTGATTCATAACTTTCCCATGAGTAATCGTGCGAAATTGAAAATAACGATCTCGACCGGAATTAAAACTCGACTCCCCGATTTGTTTTTTGTGCCACTAACCATTGCATCACCTATAAATCCTCAAGAAGTAACCTTTGTTCTATAATTACTATATAATTAATATTGGAACAGACAAAAATATTAAAATTGACAAAATGTCTCTTAGATTCTTCTTAGCTGTTTTCTTAAATATGTACGAGTTGCTTTTCTCACCGAATCATCATCGGCGAACACCTTTCCTCAAAGTGTCAGACCAACTGGACAGCTCAAGAACTTTTAACGTGTCAATGTTATTTCTATTCGTGTACAATTGGAAATCTTTTCTTTTTTTAAAATAATGTGATGAAAAGAGGGATCGATAAGGGCATCAAACCTCAGTATCATTGGAATCTGTACCCAAAGTTTGAAAATCATTAAAACTGTAAAAACACGTTCTCCTCTATATAATAAATGCCAATATCAGTGTGTTACTGTAACACACTTTTTTTGCTTTACTCCTAAATGCCGTAGTCCAACATATACCATTTTACAATCAGGCTGACTACGTGAGCAAATTAAAAACATTTCGAGCCGGTTCTGGACCCGCAATCCTGAATTTTGGATTCCCAAGTTTTAATTACTGCAATTGTTTTCGGATTCCGACATAATTGCTTCTACAGATAAAAACAATTAATGGGACACAACTCTCTAACTTTCAATTACTATTCTCAACTTACAGTGTTTTAAAATCAAATTGCCCGTGATTTCGACTTTACTCTTAGAAATCGTAGCCCAACATTTCATATAATTTTCGAACCAGGTCCACTCCGTAAGAAAATTAAAATCATTCCGGACCAGATCCTGATCCGGAATCCTGAAATTGTGGATTCCCAAATTTTCATTACTGCGATTGTTTTCGTCGATTTTTTGCGTGATTTTTTGCGTGATTTTTTGCGTTGAATTTTTTTGAATGATAACAATTTTTATAACTTGGAAATAAATTTGGAAATAAATAAAAATTAATTGCGAAATCCAGCAAAAGTCACCTATGGAATAAAAATAATTATGTGTACGGAAAGTAAGGACTTACGTACTTCAAACTGTGTTTAAATCAAGTGGCGACAGAAGTATTACCCTTAAAAGGTAAACTTAAATATTAATTAAATACTTAAATGCAGCGATTAATTTTGAGTTCTTCTGTAGCTTATTGTTGCCTATCACATCTACTGCTCTCTACTAATTGTGATGAAGGCCTAATCAAGATCCCTCTGTAAGAACTACCTTAAATGTCGCTTAATAGGGCGGCTTTTAAGCTAGTATTCTTATATTCTTCTGTGAATTTATTCATTTAATCTTGTACATCTTAATTATTTTATTCTTGAGATGTAATGTCTTAATTGGAAATATTGTCGGTTTTGACAGTTTTTCTTTTTTGTAGAGAGGAAAACACGTTTTCTTTCATATATTTGCTTCTTGACTTTTTAAGGAAGCTAATAAACAAATGTTATCAGCCACTGAATTGACAGTATAAAAAATTAAGAGCGTGTTGTTAGTAACGTCAGGTGATTGTTATGTGTATTTATCTATTTATTCATTTATTTGCTTCTTTCGGTCCTGTTTACTCTGATGGGATTCTTAAAAATGTGGCTAAAATAATAATAACAACGACAATAAGAATAATATTAATTATGCTATAATTAAACTCAGAGGAAAAGAGAATAGGTCTTCTAGGAATTTAAATTGCATGTCTAATTTAAGATGTAATATGTAAAGGACAAAACAGCATCGTGGATATGGCTGAGAAGTGGTGATCTGAAACGTGCAACTGAAAACTTAATAATTGGAGTACAAGACAAAGCCCTTGTTAGTAATGCCATAAAATACCATAAAAATCATGAAAGAATGGGCAGCCAGTCTAGGAGAAAGAAACGCTGCATTCGAACTGAATCGCACTTTCCTAAAAGTGTGTATACATGCGGCAGAAAGGAGATCAGTGTTCCATAGGAAACAAGAGGAATTAAATAACTTGGGAAAGATACTGGAGTAGCATGAAGTTTTCTCCACAGTTTTACATTCAGACTGTCTGACCATCTAAATCTAGATCGCTCAGTCTACGTCTTTTTAACCTATAGACTGGGGGGAGGGAAGTGATGGATTCATGTTACTGTGCGAAAGATTTGCTGGAATTTGAAATTTGTTCTCTAGTTCCACTCGCTGTGCCGATAATCCTTACATTAAGCGTAGATTTTTACTCCAACTTTCGTCATCGGAAATAACGAGAGAAAAAACGTCGTATCATTGATTTAGCATTTAGAACTGAAACGAAGACTATTGTAAAAAAAATAAATAAATAAAAATAAAAACACACAAATACACTTAAAGAAATGAAATTCAATTAGACAACGACGTTATTGAAATTAGCCAGACTGACACACCCCAATCGTTACAGACAGTTGATCGTTCTAGGGTTAATTTTTTTTCTCTGACATAACTTTCCTAATATTAACATCATTTCTGGAAGCTCTTAAAAAGTTAATGAAACGACATGGCCCGTTTCGTGACTAAAATAATCAAAGATTTCGCATCCATTAACAGAGGTCATTGTTCGAGCCAATTCTAAATTCTAGGATTTCGTATGCTAATTTTCAAAACTGACTAACCCTTTCCATCTCGAAGACTTACTACATTCTCTGTACTTATACTACAATCACTACTGTGTCATGTACTTCCAAAAATAGCGCTACCTCCGCATTCCCAGTGGTGATGATTTTATATCCAACCGATAGCACTCCCTCTAGCAACTTCAATAATCAAAGTTACAAGGACGATCACTCAGCAGTGTTATGTTTGTGACGAGTTATAGATAAAAACCTATAATTAATAATGGATTTTTTTTTCAGAAACGTACAATAAATTAAGGGCATTTATTTTAATTCTTATAATTAATGTCGGATTTTACCGTAGGCATTAATTAGATCAGTCCCTAGCCATTGGTTATTTTTATCTTCAATTTATCATGGTCAAATACTCAGATTTGTTTCGTCTGACACAAGATTACAAATTAGGGTTTCAACATGAGAATCAAATTCACTATTTTAGTAATAATTTAAAAAACAAAGTTACTAAATACCAATCCAAACAGTACAGCTCGATAAGTATTTCTGTATTCACTAAATTTAGTTTCATCGAACTAACTACGACAGGACGTGAATGATTATGGCTCTCCATAATTTCCTATCCTTTTCTTGTAATTCTTAGTAAGTCTTGTGCTTTTGTTATCCTTCCCACCCCCGTTTTTGTTATCCACTCACACAAGCAGACAGGTAGCTTGTAGCCTATCCCTGTCTTTTTGCTTTCATGTCCTGTGAGTGTTAAATTCTCCAAGGCCACCTTCCTCATTATATGTCCAAGAAATTTCAACTCTCTCTGTTTGAGTTTCCTATTTGTTTCTGAAGACTTCTTCGTTGCTTACCATTCTTTAATTCAAATTCTGTTATTGAAATTGCTTGAAAAGTAAACTTTTATATTATTTTCACTAGTTTTGGAGAAGTTTTCAAACACTAATTTTCCATTAGGAAAGTTACTGAATTTGAACAGAGAAAACACGACCAGAAAAGGAATTGAGGCAAATTTGGATCTTCATTCCTGAAAAACAAAAACGGAGTGACAAAAGGACGGTTTTTCCCTTGACACCGCTATTATTTTAACTACCTTCACTCCTCGGCAATGTTTATTGTTTTTGAAAGCGATTATAAGAATTAATATAAAACCTAAACACATGATGTAAGTGAGTTTATACATTTTTTGTTCTTGATAATTCACGACAAAAATATTTGAAATTATTTATTTATTTATTAGATTGTTTATTTACACGAATAACTTGATGTTTACAATATTCTAAAAAATAATAAAATTAAAACTAATGAAATACGATATTAAAACTAATGCGATATGATATTTATAATTAATAATTTATAAATTTATAAAAAATAAATATGAAAGCATTTCCTAAATTATTTACATTGTTCGGATTATTATCCTCATCTTCGTTACCATATTCACGACGTTTCGTCCGTTCAACGCTACGGCCTTCCTACAGGACACGTGATCCAGTGGATAAAAGCATTGGTCGAATCTAGTAACTTGACCCAAAGAGTTGTGAGTTCAATACCTGGCTACTGCAGTAGTGAACAAAAAACTTGGAGATTCGAGTTAAAGGGAAATAACAGAAATCCGGAAGAAGCATGGCACGTAGAACTAGAACAATCTACCCCGGTGAACGAAAAAAAGGTTTCAGTTCGAAATTCTAACCCTTATCATTTACTATACGCCAAAGTTATATATATATATATATATATATATATATATATATATATATATATTTTAAAGAAGTAATCATCCAAAGAATTAATCAGTAGTATAGTTAACTTCGCTAACAGATCAATAAAATATTAACTTACTAACAACTCTCTGAATGATGCTATCCTCATGTTTAAATTATGAGATGGATAAGATGTTCTGTTACAAGTACTTTCGAAGAAATTCGCACCTTCATCGTCAAAGATTTCGCATCCATTAACAGAGGTCATTGTTCGAGCCAATTCTAAAAAGGATTAGAATTTCGAACTGAAACCTTATTTCCATTTCAAGTAAATTTCAGCTATATCTCTAAGACGAAAATAAATGTATTGCAAGCTAAAATATGTTTTTTTTTTTAAATAAGTGCGCTATCTTTTAACGGTCCGATTTCGGAACGTACGTTGTCGGTGTATTTTTTAATATTTCAAGTGAGAAAAACTTTTTTTACATTAACTTTACTGATTAATTCTTTGGATGATTGCTTCTTTATAATATTATATATGCCGCCTTAATTAATATATACACATACATACATATATATATACACATACATATATATATATATATATATATATATATATATATATATATATATATATGACCGCTATCAATAGACCAAATCCGTGATAATAATTAAAAGATAAAACTGAAAAACGACCTAGCTCATCGGTTTCGAGTCTCGCTCAATAGAGCTAAATCGAGGTTAATAAATATAGAATTATCAATAAAAGTGATAAACAATATATATAGAAGAAAAAAAATATACTTAAACGGAAATTAATTTGAGGTCCAGTACAAAATCCTTTTGTTTGCATAACGAATGTCTCATGGACAAAATGTATATGGCCTCCAGTATTTGAAGTGGTAATTCGAGTGTAACTTACTAAGCATAGAAAATGAGTACACACTGAATTTAGCGGCACAATTATGTTTATTTATTAGGTGATCCGCGATGGAAGACCCGGAAGTGTTGGTCAGAATGTTTGAGGGAGAATACTTAAGATTTCAGATTTTGTTGGCACATATTGTTTTATTCTAACATCCAATCTTCGAGTCCTTCTCCCTATGTAGTGTAAACCACAACTACATTTAAATGAATAAATCAAAACTGTTATGATGTGAAGGAAGAACGTTTTTCCGTATATATGGAAGGACAGGTTGGGCTGAAAAAAACTTTCAGCCTTGTGCCATATCTAAGCTACACTTAGAAAATCACCATAGTTTATTTGATTTAAATATGCTATTTATAATTATATTATACAATTGACAAATTAGAATTCAATAATGCAGATACGGTCGGTAATTATCCAACCGGTATTTTAATTTGTATTTGATACTGGGCCGTCTGGCACGTGTTGGATGAATCACAAAAAGCCGAAGTATCATACTTAGGCCTGGGAAATAAAATAGCGTTGTGTCCTTTTGTTAATTTTTGAGATTCGGATTGAATTTTTGTCCGGTAAAAATCTTTCAGATTAACTGTTGCTTTTTCAGAAAAAAAATTGTCTGCAAAGTAAGTGGCCCCCGGAGCTCATACAGGACAAGCCTTACTGTAAAAAAAAAAAAAAAAAGACTTTTTTTTTTCATATTCAGTAAATCCGATTATTGGCCCCCTTACCAAAAAAAAAAAAAAAAAGGCAATAATTGAATGCACCCCAACAAGCTTCTCCAGATTATAATCCAATATAAAGCATGTTGTCCGTTATCAAAAAATAATCTATATGAAAATGGAAAAAATGGTGAACAGTTATGTAATATCAAACTTCTTAAATGGCAATGAATTCTGGACAAAGTTGTCGCTCTACAGAAAGATGCTGAGAATATCAGGAACAGTACATGCGAGCAAAGAGGAAGTTTGAATGAAATCGGAGCGAAAATGACAATTATAATCAGAAAGAGACGGTTGAAATTTCTTGTATATATAAATAAGGAAAGAATACTTGGAGAAGTTAACACTCACATGACATTGAAACGATGAGCTTTAAGCCTTTTGGTAAACTGATGACAGCGCAGAGTCTGCGTGGCACTGTAAGAGAACAAATGTTTCTTAGAGCTATAATAGGTAGGAAGACTTGAAGAGGCATGGGTAACTACGTATTTGCAGGGAAAGTTAAACCAAACGATTCGTTCATGATTATCAACGTCATTTAAGGACATCGTATATGAAAACTAAAAGTTGAGACGCTATAAAGTTAAACAAATCTTTGGTATAAAGGCTGATGAATATCAAAGGCGGACATATTAGATTATCACACATAAAATGGCGTTATTTTTGGTTGGTTGTTGATCCGATCGTCTAACGAAGTAACCTCCATAGTATATAAAAAAATCTTGACTTATTCCTTACTCTTCTTCTTTCCAGATAATTTTTCTTTCAATATCTTCTTATTCATAAACCCAATGAAAATGATTACAATGAAACAATGTCGAGTAATCTTATTGTATGAGTAATAAGAACCATTTTTCCATCGAATCATTACATGCGATGAGAAATGGATATTCTTTGACAAGAGTAAGAGAGTAGGCCAGTGGTTATATGCAAGTGAATCACTAAAACAATACCGAAAACTTCCACTACGGTCTAAAAGGTTAATGGTTACCGTATGGTGGTCTTTCAAAGAGGTTATTCATTATTAATTCTTGCCTCAAGGGAAAACAATAACAGCAACCTTGTAGTGTGAAGAAATTCAGTGTATGCACGAAAAATTGAAAAAAGAATCATCCTCGACTTATGAATATGTATGTTTCAATTTCGCTGCACGACAACGCACGGCCGCCCGCTACTCAATCAACTGTCCAAAATCTGCGTAACCTGAATTATGAAATTTTACTCCATCCACCATATTCACCTGATATCTTTCCTACTGATTATCACTTATTTAAGCATTTTGAGCTTTTCATACGCAATAAATCATTCTCCAACAAGGAAGATGTAATCGAAGCAGTTGAACTGTTTATCACATCAAAGGATGAGAATTTTTAAAGATGGGATGAAGAATTTAGAGGTACGTTGGACAATAGTCATTCATCAACGTTGTGTCTATTTCAACTAAATAAATTAGTTATTTAACACTTCCGAACCGTTTTATTCATTTCCTATAAAATGCGCCATTTTATGTGTGACAACCTAATATTAATATATAAAACAATAAAAATTAATTTTTTAGGTGTATGAGATATTGTGTTACCGAAATATATTTTATGTTCTACATATACATCTTATATATTTATTTATCAAGAAAGAATTATCTTGTATAATAAAACCTCGCACATTCAAAACGTTTACTGCGTTGCGTTAGACTATTTTATCGCCAGAATCTATCTTACATACGTATTTAGAGATTTCTGATAAAATTCAAAGAAGAATCTACAAATTTATCATCCCGACCTGGTATCTCGGATTTAATCTTGACAGGTCTGCTACTAGTTAAGTCACTTCACTATCTTGTGCTAGACAATTGTTTTCTCGTCAGAATCTATCTTGCATATTTATAAGTCTACCATTCGTCCATCTTTTGTATATTGCTGTCACATCTGGTCTGGTGCTTCTGCTATATATTTAACAATTCTTGATAAAATCCAAAAAAAGAATCTAACCTGGATCTCTGATTCAGTCACTTCCCCATTATCGTAACCTAACTTCCATTTGTTGCTATGAACTTGCCTCTATGCTTCGTAAACTTTATGAATTTAAGGGCAATACTAGATTGGCAGTAAGGTTTCATTGTTTAACTATTTATTGTCTAGAAATTACCTTAAGTTCCATGCTAAAAGTTTCTTCTTTCACACTGCTCTATTGAGAGACTGTCTTCCGGCCTCCCAGTCAATTTTGATCTTCAAAATTTAAATGCAATGTCAATGGTTATCTTCTGTCTTCCTAATTCCTGTTCTTTTATTCTTCTATCCCCTTAGTGATGTTTTATTTTGCTCATATTTTCTCCCACTCAACAATCCTATGCGTCTTAGTGGTTTTGTCGCTTTGTTTGGGGTGAAATGATTAAAAAAAAAAGAAGTCCCGTACTACTTTGGCATCTAGGTCTCATCATGTTACAGGTGAAATGGCCAGATGTAACCGTAATTTCTATGCTAACAGTTTCTTTCGCACTTCTTGCTTTTGAAACTCTCTTCCATCTTCTTACATTCCAGCCAACTTTGATCTTCAAAAATCCAAATAAAATCTTTTTGTCTTCTTTCTTCTTGTTCTTTCATGGTTGTCTCTCCTCAAATATGTTTTTTTCTCATATTGTTTCGTACTCAATAACCCCTTGCCTTTCGTATTAATTTGTGCGTTTTCTGAAATAGTTGCCAGCGTTTATTGTGAAATTATGTCAGCTCGAACTACGACTGCTACTGGTACAATGCAATCAACTACTACCTGCTTCACATATTTTTTTCTGTATAAATATGATTGCGTAAATTAACAACGCTAGTTTTTTCAGTTTTCCACACCTTTGAACGGGGTCGCTTGTTCGATGTTTTGGACAAACTGAATTCTAAAAACCTTTCGTATTATTAGTTACGTAACATCTCACAATTTTTATTCGAGTTACTTCTCACAAAGCCTAACGATTTTAAAGTAAACGAAGCACACCTGAAACATACGAACGATGTGTATTGTCAACAAAGGTATTAATTAGGAGTATAATACAATTATCATTCGCTGAACGCATATTGCTACCGCTGAAAAATTACACGCATTCATAAAAATATAAATACGTGTCTCTCGTTAAGTATTCTTTTCTATTATACTAACGCAGTTGATTCAGTTGTATTGTAAAGAAAGAGAACCAAAAATATTTTGTGTGATTTTTTTGCGGGGATCTTTGTAATTCGTTTCTTATTTATTATTAAAAATTACTTTGATAGAATGACTCGTCTAGGTTTGAAAGAAGACAATATTTTATCAGGCCTTAAAAACTGGCACTACAGAATCACAAAGAAATTTACTGGTCACTTGTAGACTTCCAACAGCAGCAACAACTAAAATAGATACCTTTAGCTAGAAGGGAAAATAATGATGTAATAAAGACGTTAACTTTACACAAGATCGTAAACTTTAAAAGGCGATACCCATATAAGAAGCCATAGCAGTTACTGGAGTTGAAAAGTCTAATTTCTTGAAAAACTTCTTGAAGGAAAAGATTTATAAATTTTAACCGACAACAACGCAAATTACTCGATCAATTAAGGCCGAAAGTTTCGTGTATTTCACCATTAGCATTGTGTAAAGTCACCAGTTTACACCTCTTAACTAATATGTTATCACCCCCATGAAAAAAAACATTGTATTGCATCCATCGACAAGATAATTAAGAGAATTCTTCGTGTTCTCTTATCCTATTGCGAAACCAGTTGTGCGGGATTCAGCTACGTGATCTGTATGACCCCATACTCGCAAAACCGACGACTGTATTGGGTATAGGAAATGTATAGTCGAACCAAATTGTTGTTTTTTTTTGGGGGGGTATTTTTTTTTTCTTCAGAAGCCATGAATACATTGTTGGACCCTTTTCTGTTTACCCCCACACCAACCCGGACAATATCTTTGGGTTCCTCAAAGGTAGTATTTACCATTCCATGATTTCCCAGTAAACAAACATTAATTAAGAGACATGGGTCTTCAAGCGGACCTGCATTCCTTACACATTCTTGCAGATTTTGACAGATTTGCAACCCCTCGTGTATTCGGTTTTCTTTCCCGCCTAAAGCGCCCCCCTCTCTGTCTCTCTGTCTCTCTGTCTCTCTCTTCATATTTCTCCATATCTCTCTTTGCCCCTCTCTATCTCTCTCCATATCTCTTTCTCTCTGTGTATCTATCCCTCACTATCTCACTGCCTCTCTTTCTCTTCTTTATTCTTTTTATTCTTTATGCTTGCTTTTCTTGTTAATTTCCGAAGTACATTTATAACGTTTTATCTTTCTTTATATCCCCAATCTTCTTTTTTCTTCATCCATTATATCTCCATCCTCCTTTTTGTCTTTCATTTTGTTTTATTTTTCTCTCTTTCTTTCTTAACTCTCTACTTTTTTCTATTATTTCTGTTTTCTTTCTTTTTCCTTTTTTTTCCTTTTTTTCTTTTTCGTATCAACTTCCGGGACTTCTTTTTGTGTTCTTTATTTTTTTTTTTCTTTCTTTCTTTCTTTCTTTCTTTCTTTCTTTCTTATCATTCCTATATTCGTTTTTTTTTTTACTTCAAGCTTAACATTTCCTTTTCTTCATATCTTTATTTCATTCATTCTTCCTTGCGTCCATTCTGTATCTTTCTACTAATTTCCTTTCTTCTCATCATTTTTTCTTATTTTCTTGCTTTCTGTTTCCTTTCTTTTCATCTTCTTTTCAAGTTGAATTCAAGGATTTCTTTCTTTTTTACGTTTCCTTCACCCGCTGAATTTCTCACTGCGTTTTTATTCCAATGTTTTTTATCTTTCTGCTTCAACATCAATATTTCTTTTCATTTTCTTTCTTTCTTTCTTTCTTTCTTTCTTTCTTTCTTTCTTTCTTTCATTTCTTTCCTTTTATTCTTTCTTTCTTTATGTTTCCTTTTCCTTTTGTCTTTCTCTATGTATTTCAATCCCGACGTTCGTGCCTTTCTGCACCAAGAGCAATATTCATTCTTTTTCTTTCTTTCTTTCTTTCTTTTTTTCTTTCTTTCTTTCTTTCTTTCTTTCTTTCTTTCTTTCTTTCTTTTTGACTTTCCAGGTTTCATTCTTTTGACTCTCTATTTTATCTTCATTTTTACTCCTTTTTCTCATTTATTAATTTTTCCTTCTCTTCCTTCATTTGCGCATTTCTCGGGAAATTTTGTTTCTTTTCTTTTCTTTCTTTCTTTCTTTCTTTCTTTCTTTCTTTCTTTCTTTCTTTCTTTCTTCATTTAATTTGTTTCGTCTTTTTAATTCTTTCTTTTTTTTCACTACCAGTTATATATTTTTGATTCACTAGTTTTTTTCTTTCTTTATTTTTCTTCAGTTATTTCTTTGGATTTTTTTTCTTCATTTTATTTCACTTCTTGTCGAGTTCGTACTTTCGAGTTTTCTTTTTCCTTATTTTTTTTTCGGTTTTTCTTTCTTTCTCTTTCCTTTTTTATTTCCCTCCGCTCTATTTCTTTTTCCTTTTTTCCTACTATCTTTCTTTTTATCTTGTTCCTTACATATCCTTAGTTTCCTAATACAAGGGGGTCTTAATAATCGGGGAAATCGGAATTTTTTAAATGCGTAATAATCCGAAAGGATCTTAATAAAAGGGTGACTTGGGAGATCATTTAAAGTTCCAAAAGTGCGAAATTAATAAACTGGATATTCTTTCTAAGCTCCTGCGATCTTTCTCTCTCACTCACTCACTCACTCTCTCTTTCTCTCTAACACACACTCTCTCTCTCTCTCACTCTCTCTCTCTCTCCCTCTTCGTTATTTTATTTCAATGAATTTTTCTAATATTGTTTTCCCACCCTCTCTTTGAAACATATTTGGGAAGACATTCTACTGCCATTGTACTTTCTCTTCATCGTCTCTTTCCTGCCATTTTTCCACCATTATACTTATACAGATGTGTAGGTGTCCATGTTTGGAAGGATATTAGTGGGCACTGAGCCAAAAGTGCGGAATTTCCTCCTGTTGAGTTCGATACAGGAACCTTCAGGATCAGTGTCTGCACGCCTGTGTAACTAGGCAACCGTTATAGTCGAGACCAAATGCGGACACAAACAAACTTCGCCTCGTTTTGCAATTGGCGTCCCGCCCGATCTCCGATATCACTGAGATTATAATCCATGCCAAAGCTTCAAATTTGCATCGCAGACCACTTAATCTTTCGCTTAGAAGCCCTTTTGGCTTTGGTCGGGATTAAAATCTTAATCCGAGACGCGACGAAGCGAGAATTTATTCGCGATGAGACATAACGGGTGTTTGAGAACGTGTCACACTTTAGCTCATATCCCAAAGAGAGGCGAAAACATAGCACACGAACGTACACACGCGCGTACATACACACACACACACATGAACACACACACATGAACACAAACACGCAATTAACCACATTTAGGTCTTGTCAGGTATTGGCGAATGTAGCAATTTCAACACTCACATTATGGGCCACACTGTGTTAACTAATGTTTAAGAAAGGTCTATACTCGCCAGATTAATAACAAAAATGGTAGACCTTCAAGATCTTACATATTTTTACTTCCTTTGTAAAAACATTTTTCTAGGATTAGAAGTCACAAGAAAAGGAGGATAATGAACGAAAGAAAGAGAATGAAAAATTAATAAATGAGAAAATAGAAAGAAAGAAAATAAAAAAGAACCAAAAGAAAAATAGAAGAGAAAAAGAAAAAGTGGAAACAATAAGAAAGAAAGAAAGAATTAAAAAATGAAATGATCAGAGAAGAAATTAAATAAATACAAAAGAAAGAAACAAACAAAAAAAAGAAAAAATGAATAAAAGAAAATAAGAATGGACAAATAAGAATGAAAGAAAGAAAGAAAGAAAGAAAGAAAGAAAGAAAGAAAGAAAGAAAGAAAGGAAGGAGCAGAAAAGAAAAGACATGAATGAACTGAAAAGAAATAAAAAAAAGGAAAGTGAAAGAAAGAAAGAAAGAAATGTAAAAAAGAAATGATCAGAAAATAAACTGGAGACAAAAGAAAAAAAAGAAAAGAAAGAATGAAAAGGAGGAAAGAAAAGAAATATAAATGAACGAAAAAGAGACAAAAGAAAGAAAGAAAACAAAAGAAAGAAATTAACAGAAAAAAATAGGAATAGACAGAAAGAAAGGAAGAAACAGAAAAGAAAAATGAATGAACTGAAAAACTGTTAATTTAAATAAAATCTAATGACAAATCTTTTCATTTTGTTTTGTTTCTTCTTTAAAAAAAAAAACATTAAAACAGTTTACTTTGATTTTCTAATGTTTCCATTTTTGTCAAATGCCTTTCCCGAATTTGAAAATTTATTACTACTTATTTCTCTCATTAAGACTTTGTTTTAGGGTGTGTTTAAACCTTGTTCCTTCTGTAGGGAGTTCAGTTAATTCATTTCTGATAGATATTTTTACCCACAAAGTTATTTAAATGTCTTAATTTTCAAGAATTAAACAGAAAGTAAAGAACAAAACTCGCAATTAAAATTCTCCGAGCTCGTAAGCGTGAGTTGCGACTTTATAGACGTGACTATGTAAGTGGATGATATAATATATTTATTTTAGGTTTGATGCTCACTCCCACTAAAGGAATGAAGTAGCTGTCATTGTACAATAAATAAATGATTCTCTCATTTTATGATGACGTTTATAGTTTCAGCAACATCAAAGAGATAAAAAGAAATATATTCCAGTATCTACCATTCATAGAATCGCCGACCAGAATAAGAAAGAATAAGCAGTCAAAGAAGTGAATCTGGAAGAAAACAGAATCTCACTTCACAAAACAAAGACTAGTCAAAATATTTTCTATTAACCGAAAGCAGACGATAACTTTTTTCAAGGATTTCCCTTCCACTGAAGAGAGAAATCTATCTCACTTACTAATAGGAACCCTACCACTCAGCTTGAATTCTTTTTCCATTAGGGTTTGAACAAGAAAGCCTCAACCATCAAATAAAAACATGGCTGACAGAAAGAGATTTATTGACCGTTAGGGAGACATGAAACTGTTATTTACTCCGAACCTCTTTCTGATAAGACAAGATTCTCCCTGCTTTCCAGAGAGATCGGCATGAAAAGAGTCTCAAGGGATCGGCTCAAAAATTCAGTGAACACTGCCGTCAACCAACAAGGAAGGTGTCTTTAAAGGTTGCTTATATGGTTGTATAATGGAGTGGGAGTCACTTCACCAGTCAATACGATGGGCCATAGATGTCACTTCTAGTCACTGTAAATAAAGAAACTTTCGAAAGAAATATGTCATTCCTTTCATTCTGTAACTTGTTCCACACTCTTACACACACACACACACACACACACACACACACACACACACATACATACATACATACACACACACACACACACACACACACACACATATATATATATATATATATATATATATATATAAAAATTTGTGTATTTAGGCAGCAAATTCTCTTTTAGGCATGCCTGAATAAATTACAGACATTATATCTGCTAATTTTTAACAAAATCCTATCATACTCACAAATAACTTACCGTGTATTATATTAAAGGATGAGAGAAATGTGCTTTAACTGTTTAAATGTCTTTTATTTTCATTTCCCAAGTACTTTCGATCTTCTTCCATGATCATCTTCGGGGTTGCAAGTAGTACAAAACTATACGTTGTTCAAGGGTACAAATATTTATATGAAGATGTACGTTGCTATCCATTACCGTAATTTCTCATTATGCAAATGGTTGACACTGTGCTGAGCGTCTACTAGAACGTGAAAAAATTATTCATTATGGATTTTTTTCCCTCTATATTATAATGTTATGGTCATGCGCGCATTAAAGCATGAAAAACTGTTTCTTTATAGGCATTTCAGAACATTACTGCAATATTCATAGTTAATTCTGTTCAGTGCCGGCTTTAATTTTTTTAATATAAATTATTTCTAACCTGAATTTAATTTGTTTCGTCTTTGTAGCTTGAATTTATTATTTTCTTGTAGCATAGTTACGTTGTCGATCAGTAATTTTTTATATTTTGAATGTGGACAGGAATGTTGTTGTAGATATCTCGCAATGAATGAATGGTCAGACATATGAAGTGTAAGACGTCTTGTTAATGTAGTTGTCGTATAAGCCAATATATATATATATATATGGTTTTTTGTCGGAAACACATTCTCGCAAGGAACATTTAAATTGGTTTATACAGTTGGGAGAAAACAGATATTCGCACACATAGAAATTTTTAATTTTTTATAATTCCAACTAATAAATAAACAAACTTTTCATATAATTAACTGTACAGAGATGCATAATAACTAAATATGTACAGAAAATAGAAAACATTTGTTTTGATAGAAATAAATCCCATTTATCCATTTTAATGGGTGAAAAAGTATTCGTACACTGCAAATTTCAGATGTGAAAACTTTTAAATTGCTTTAATACTCTAGATTTTTCAAGTGGAATATAAATAGAATCTTCCAATAATGTTATCAGTAGTTATTTTTAGCCTAAAAAATACAAACAGAACATTCTGTAATTGATATTCGTACAAAAAGGTTATCATCATGGCAAGCGGTAAAGAACTGATAAATTCGTAAAAGGAACTGATTGTTAAGCTCTGGAAAGGAGGTAAAAGTTACAGGAAAATCTCAGACAACCTGAATATTCCATTTACTACCATTAGTTCATTTATTACAAGGTATAAAAAACTCAAAACTGTTGAAAACCAAAGAACAGGAAGATTTCTTCAAGCTCTTCGAGAAAATTAATGCGTCAAATTAAACAAAATCTAATGTTTACTCACCAAGACTTGTAATTAATTTCCTTTCATCAGAAATCTGTGTCACTAAACAGACAATAAGCAATTAAATTTATAGGAACAATCTAAAGTCACACTCCCCTCGGAAAACGTCACTGCTATCGAAAAGACACAAAGATGCCAGGTTGAAAGTCGTTCGTGAACATAAGGATAAGGAAAAATCGTATTGGGAAAGACGAAACCAAAATTGAGTTGTTTGGCCGTAATTCTAGAAATCATGTATGGAGGAAAGTTGAAAACTATATGCGAAGAAGAATGGAACAAAATACCAACTAAAATTTGCAAATCATTGATTCAGAACTCCAAGAAAAGGTTGGTTGTTGTAGAAGTGAATAATGGCTATTCTGCAAAATATCAAATAAAGATTATATATTCTTTTTTTGTAATGTACGAATACTTTTCCACCCATTAAAATGTTATTGGTCAGAGTT